CCCCCCCCCACGACCTTTGTGAGGATAAAGTGGATCGGAAAATGTTTGCATTTTTGTTTTCCATCCCTGCACTTCCCTCCACAGTCCACTGCGAACGAACACAATTGCTTGATTGGAGCTGCACCAATCAAATGTAGCTCCGCCCATCTTCATCTTGAGTCTAAATTAAATATGAAATCAAAACAACCGCGTATTTTAATTTGAGTCCCGTGTTACAAATTTATGTTTGGACTGTAAGAGTCATTATCTGTCATTTTCAAGGAAAATGATAACAACTAAACACCGTACGTCCTATAAAAACTAAACACCGTAAGTCCTGGCTTTGCAACTTTATCCTGATCCTCACCAGAAGGTAATGTATTTTTACTTGGCCTATATATTCAGCCACTCTGAAAAGTAGTTTCTGTGTGCTCGCGCTCACTAACTGAAGAAAACGATTCACTTGGAGGATGTTGGTGTTAACGCCGAGCTGCGTATGTTGTGCAGGCCTTTCTGCATGAATGTACATGAACTAACGTAGACCTGAGTCTTATTGCGCTCGTGAAATATTTCCGTTCAAAAGTCAATGCGTGTTCAGGTCGGTGAATTTGCTTTTGGATGGGGGAGATGGACGTGAATAGAAGAAGAAATACGGACAGGTCACATGAATAACATTAAAATACCATTACCTTCTGATGCCTTCCTGGTTTACATGGAGCAGGTGCAACTCAGCCAGAAGAGAAAAGATGCAGCTGAAACACACAAACACAAGACGAGCCTCAGGACTTAAATCATTGTTGAACCAAAAGGTCATGGGGTCAAGATCTGCAGCAAGTGGACAAGACAATGACGTTCGTGGGCTACTCCGATAACATCATCTCAAAGTGCTGTGGAAGACACATTATCGTCTTTGGAGCATTGCAGCATCTTTAAAGCGCATTAACGTGTGAACAACAACTAATCTACACATAATAAATGAAGTTCACAAGGTCGTGGTTTCATCTCTTGAGACCATGGAGACATTTAATCAAATTAAAGCCAACCTTAGCCAAACGGTTATCCATTTGTTACTTAGGATACCGTGTAGGAGTTTTTGTTTTTGGATAATTCTGTCTGAAAATATAGCAATGTTATGAAACGTCAATGAAGATTCAATATGACATTTTGGTGACGATTGCTCATTTGTGTCTTGACTGTTGGCATTTGTGTAAACGGATGCTCCGACAACATGACTCTGTACTGATGGTAAATCATTCGACTTTAATGTCATACAATTACCGCTTGACAGCAAAGCAGACACACAATTTGCTGCGGCATAAACATTGTGCGGTATTGAATTTATGATATCTGCAAAGCATCTAAATTGAGGGAAAAGTGCTAAGCCTCCCGCTCGGGTCCGACAAACAGAACTTCAAAAGAAGCAGCCAAAGAGCTTTAGCTGTCCGGCTTCACAATGAGCATAATAACTCCCTACCGGCTGGGAGCTGCAGCAGCCTAGTTCATTTAGGCATCGCGAGCCATGTCTGTGCACATGTGTCTTTGTTCGGCCGCCAGTTTCTCTGAGGCTCCCCACCTTCTGCCAGCTACAAAGCGGATGTATAGAGGAACCTTTTGGACCTCAATTTTACAGAGGAAATGCGCCCCCGCCTCCCTCTCCTCCCTACTATTTGCTCCTCACATGTAATGCCTGATTGACCACAGCACCCCTTACAGAGGTCAAAGGGCAGACAAAACAGTCTGGTGTCATGGCAACCTGTGTGCCACCAACCAGAATGGTAGGGGAAAAGCAGGGGGGCTCAAATGAGCTGTCAGTTAAGCCTTTTAAGAATGCTGCCTTGTGAGACTAGTGTGTGTGTGTGTGTGTGTGTGTGTGTGTGTGTGTGTGTGTGTGTGTGTGTGTGTAAAATACAGAAACGCACACACACACTTAATGCACCTGCACCCTAAAAAGCCCCCTTCAAATCTGCACCCCAGAATAATGAAGTCAAATCCCACTGAGTGATGCATACAAATGGGCACCTATAGAATGACTGAGATGATGCAGTGACATAAATGCGTGAGTGTATGATGCCGTGCGTGTAGTACACTCCTTTTGGTGAGAGGTTCTTTGTGACCGCTCGATGCAGTGGGAGTTTGTGACCGCGATGGGGGGAGGGGACGGGATAACGGATAAACGGCAAGCAAATGCATTCAGATCAAATCAATACTGAGCTGAGAGGGGGCGAGCGAGGTTGAGGGGAGAGAGTGGAAGGTGGTGAGTAGAGGGGGTGGGGGGTAGTTGGGGCTACAGAGGGACTGATTAATCAGTCCAGTATTGCGATTGATTTTCTGTTAAGGGGGTGAGTCAGACTTTGAATTATGTGCCTCTGTGTATATGTGTGCGCCAGTCCTCTTTGGGAGTGCAAAGTAATCAATTAGCCCCAACTTCCCAACGGTTTTGCTATGCTCTATAAACCCTTTAGAAACTCTCAATGCAGTAACTTTTTGACCGTCTGTTTTTAAATTCAGCACAACCAACGGTTTAATCTGCAATATTTTGTTGTGGAAAAAGTGCAAATATAGTTTTCAACGTTGAACAGGAACAAGGAAGAGAGGGGGGCGAACAGGAAATCCCCTGTGAGGAGCTAATGAGGAGCTGACGACTGAGCAGACATAACAGAGGAGAGGGCAGGGTGAGGGGGGGCTGGGGCGTTCTGACATTGGCTGTGACTTTGTTCGTTCATGTACTTGAGCGGGCGAACACACCTGGGCCAACATGCAAGCACAACAGCAGGCTTTATGCGGCATTCAAAGATGCACAGCACACCCTTCCCTCCATGAATGTAACCACCACTCATCATTACCTTGAACTTGAACAATGAGCCTGGTGTTTGTGCTGGGGCCACTTCCTGACCTTTCCATCCCTGTATGGAGGCAGCCGACCGCAACCTCTCCTTTCATCTTACAGATGTGACCCTGCGACACGAACGGTCGAGGGCAGCTTCTACTTCCTCCTTACTCGTGACACTAGTAAATGTTTGTTTGTGATGCTCTGCAAATAGCCTAAGTGTTACGCCTATGAACCATTGTTTATTTACAACAAGGTCAGACTCAAACTGCGCTAAGGGCTGTGGAGGTGACCTATGTATTTTCGATCAAGAACAGACTGCCACCAAGGCTAAAACACAAAAATGTTGACTAACGATGTGAACTGGCATCTTGACAAGCTTAAAAGGATCACCTGCAAATGAAATTTGGTCTGACATCACAGAACTGTGAGTTTTTACAATGAGAATTAATAGGAATATCGAGGAAATACACGTGCAGATTAGTCTAACAAGGAACTTAAATTTGTTTTTGGCCATTTAAGGAGGCTGACATTTTACTCATGACTGCCACCTACTGGTAACTGATACTGATGTCACAGTCCCCACGGGCTCCCCTTGCGAGCGTCATGGCTCACCTGGTTTCACAAGTCAAGCCCATGGGCACTTTGACATGAATCTCAGTTGACACTCGGGGGCGGAGCCAAAATAAATGTCAGCCTCATTGGAAGGCTGAGAAGGGTGGATTAATCTCCTTCATGCTTATTCCTCAAAGGAAATATTCATCTGTGTAAACGAATAAGGACACCTGAAACATATAATTGCAAAGAAAATGTTCGACTTGACTTTGCGATAAGACAAATTCAGATTAATATGATGCGTCAGGGGCGGTACGGTGCACAACTGGTTAGCACATCTGCCTCACAGTGCAGAGGTGAAGGGTTCAATTCCGGCGACGGCCTTGCTGTGTGGAGTTTGCATGTTCTCTCTGTGCCTGCGTGGGTTTTCTCCGGGTACTTTGGTTTCCTTACACACTCCATAAACATGTGTGGCCGGTTAACAGAAAACTCTAAATTGTGCCTAGCTGTAATTGTGAGCGCGGATGGTTGTTCGTCTGTGTGTGCCCTGCGACTGGCTGGCAACCAGTTCTGGGTGTACCCTGACTACTGCCTGAAGACAGCTGGAATAGGCTCCAGCACGCCTGCGGCAGCCTTGAGGATAAGCGGATTAGAAAATGGCTGGATGAATGATGCGTCAATTTAAACTGAACATTTAATTAAAAATCTGAAGATAGAATTTACCAATAAATAATGAGAACGTCCTCAGCAATGAAAAAGAAAGTTGCACATCAACAAACCAACCTTGAAAAAGATGGAGGTCACACTTTAGTGAGCAGATAAAGGCCTAGAAACAATGTTACTTTCCCCTCTCTTCTTTTCAATTCCGCCAACAATTCGATCCAAGTCACAGACTGTTTGCTTCTATCTGCCTTCATCTTTCTTCAAACAGTGTCCGCCTCATCCTCCTCCTCCTCCAAGTCTGACACCAGAGAGAGGGCACACAGGCAGATAACAGTTCTGCCATTGGCGAGCATGTGTTTCCCATAATGTAAAGCATTGTATGCACAATACCAGATAAGATGAGCCGATGTTCAGACTGATAAACTAGATATATCATTTGTTATTATTTTGAGATGCCTGTAACAAACTATTGCTCTCACATTTCATCTGGAAAAACGGGGCCACTTAAACTCAAACGTGTAAAAGAATTTGTTACGGTTTACTAACCAATACCACCAGCCCGAATCACTAAAATCCAGAAAAATTGTAAAAAAAAAAATATATAAAAAATTATAATAATAATAAAAAATGTCAGACGGGGCAATTTAAGGGAAAACTAAATTTATTCATTGTGCTGCGGCTCAGCCAGGCTCCGCAAACTAACCAAAAACACGCAAGATTTGGAGACACTGAATCGCTTGCAGGTGAATTGACATGTGAATGGTTGTCTGTATCTAAATACCAGCCTTGTGACTGACTGGTAATCTGTTCAGGGTATAACTGGCCTCTGCAAGTACATGGTGAGAATTCTGGCAAATGAAGTCCCGAAGAATACACATAGCCTCAAGCAACTGGCTGAATTAGCCTGCAAGATGACTGACAACACAGCAAGACTAAATGGTAAATGAACTTACTGTATAAAGAGCCTTTTTGAATTCAAAATACCAAAAGAGGCTTGACCAATGGCACCAATTGCCACAATGATGATGGCGTATGGTGCAGTGAAATGAACATACTGTAAATGGTTCATTCACACACTGATGATGCAGTCTTTGGTTCAACTAGAGGCACTCAGTATGTAGCTCAAGGAAATCAGGATGTGGAGGAACTAACCTACAGTCTCACAGTTGAGATGCAACGACTCCACCACCGGAGCAAACCCGCCAACCCAATTCATTGCACGATTAACTTGTTTACTTGTGAGAGGTGTTTGAGGAGAGTGATCTGCTAACAAGTCACAGCTAATGGGCTAATTTAATAGACAAGAAAAAGACACTGGATGGAAAAAAAGAAATCCATCTTTCCCTCAACGGCTGTTGACTTCAGAGCGGTGTTTGATTTTTGTTCTGAACAAGGAGTATAAGGTGCTGATGAAAGCCATGTCATGCTGACATGAATGAAAATAGTGTAACCACTGATATTCACAATAACAGCACAGTCAGTCAAAACAACTGCTGCATCAATAAAAAGAGAGTGATCAACCTACTGTCTTCATAGTGCCTCAGCCATCACAAGAGTTTTTCTCATAGGGGTCAATGGTCCAAAAAGGGACAGTGGGCAAGGTTATCATGACGATCGCAGATATAGAGGAAATGACTCCCTGGACACACGGAGGTTTTGTACAAAACTGTTGAGCGGTGAACTCCGGCACAATTGTCCCACCAGAAGAGCAATCGCGGATGTGCCGCTACTTGGCGCTTTGCCGGTGGAAAACCAAACACGTTCTTCGTAAGAACTTGTAAAGCACCAACTAAGCACAGCATTTGGCCCTGGTGCCGAATGAGAATCAAGTTTTTCTGGGTGTAAAAGGGGTATTAGTCAATAAACAATTCCAGAAACAAACAAAAAACACCGTCCATGAATTATGTACAGAAGAAAGTATGACACAAGGGCAGAGAATTTCACAAAAAAGCAAATGACCAACTATTTTTCCAACTTTCAAAAGACGTGACTCCTTAAATGTTTGGGAAGCAAAATGTGCAAAATGCCATCCATAGCCCATGCGAGAAACATGAGAGACATCAATCATGACAAAATGCTAACATGGCATACAGTTTTGCTACAAAGATGCCTCCCTTACAAGTCGATGCAGGACGTTTTCCTTTCAGAGAAATAATGAAATGGTTTATGTAGCATGCAAATGCAGTACAAGACAGACAACAAATGCATACACACCCACAAATGAATACATTTTCAAAGATTTTTGCTGAGAGACAAAGTGAAAGTCTTTGCTTTCAGACTTACTACCACCGATCTTCAGGCAGTGCATTATGTACCTGAGTGTTGGTGGGTACACTATATCGTCGGGGGCATATACTATTAGTTCCCAAATACCACACATATGACGATAATGTTTGTCTGAAGAGATTAGCTTTAAACTAGTATGTTAAAAAGGTTGTTTCACTAGCTATGATACACGAAAACCATGGGGAATGTGTTTAAAGCAGCCTGACGCTCAATGACATGCGCAAATGGATGCTGGGTTCACCCGTTTGAGGATTATCATCACCATTTATCATCTGACAGTGAAAGATTTAAATCCTGGCTGATTTAATTTTATCACGAGGAGCATGTTTCATACCTGTCATCTTGTCGTAGATTTATATATACCATATATATTGTATGTATATATATATA